AGAAAAATGTAAATAAGAAATAATGGGGCAATAAGGATAAATACTTTAAAAAAGAATAAGGGGGAAAATGTAAAAAATAGAAGAATACTGTCACGAAGTTGATGTTAAAATATATATTGTGTATATATGTGTATTATGTTTTGTTTTGTTTTGTTTGTCGGTTTAAATAATAAAAAATATTAAAAAAAAAAAAAAAAAAACCTCCAGTGTTGGAGAACCCACAACTCCTGGAGGCAAGTTGTTCCACTGGTTAATTGTTCTCACTGTCAGGAAGTTTCTCCTTAGTTCTAGGCTGCTTCTCTCCTTGATTAATTCCCATCTGTTGCTTCTTGTCCTGCCTTCAGGAGCTTTGGAGAATAGCCTGACTCCCTCTTCTTTGTGGCAGTCCCCCAAATATTGGAACACGGCTATCATGTCACCCATAACCCTTCTTTTCCTTAAAGTAGTCCTACCCAATTCCTGCAACCACATTATACTTCATGGTAATCTGGTTTTTAACTAAGTTATTTATTAAATGTCTATGCTGCCCATCTCACTGACTTAGCGAATTTGGGCTGCTCCGTTTAATTTTGGTTTATTTAATATTTTATGCTTTAATGTTTTGCACCGCTGTCTTTATGAAGTTTGTAAGCTGCTCGGAGCTGCTTGACGGCAAAATAGGTGGCATATACCGTAAATGTAATAAAAGAACAAATGAATTAAACCACAGGCCGAAGAATGGAAGGACACTCACAGGCTTCCTGATCTGGGGGTTCAATGTTATAACCGTAACCGAGGAGGGTCCGCACCGCTTCACGCAAGCTGTCCCGGTTTGTTTTCTTGGTCCGCTCATCCAGGAGGTGGTAGGGTACCAGCCGGGGGTTGCGCTTGTTTCTGATGTCCTACAAGATGCGCAGCCCAAGAAGGACATAGACGTGTGTGAACATAAAGTGGTTTAACGAAACATACGTATCACAAAGCCACATGCATCTGGCAGGAGTGTAGGAGATGACCTGGAAGCTTGTGGTACCTCACCGGATACACCATTGGGGTCCCTCATCCCATACTGCATCTTCCTTTACTCCCTTCCCCTGCCAGCTTGTGGCTTTCAGCCATCAGTCCATAGCAGACATGTCAAACACAAGGCCCGGGGGCCGGATGCGGCCCGCGAAGTGGTTTCATGTGGCCCGCGAAGCCATCCTGGAAACAGTGAGGGAACGGCCCCTGCTGCCTTGGCCCTGGCCCAGGCCGGCCGGGAGCCAATGTACAATTTTGTGGTGGCCATCTTGGCACTTGCCCCAGTGGACCATGCCTTGGCACTTGCCCCGGTCCCACCCCCTTCTGCCAGAGACCCTCAGATCTGTTCCACTCCTGCCCAGGCCCCCCATAGGCACCCTTGACACGAATGATGTAGAACTGGCCACGCCCACCCAGTAGGCCACACCCACTCCAACCCATTAGGCTGCACCCACTCTGGCCGCACCCACCCGGCGCCCCCAGGGCAACCGCAATGCTGATGCGGCCCTCAGTGAAATTGAGTTTGACACCCCTGGTCCATAGGGACCACATAAAACGGGTTCCCAGTCCATGGGCTATGGCCCACTCTCGGGCAACGGCCTGTTTGGAACCGGGCTGCACAAGTAGCAAGCGCACGCAGGCACGCATGCAAAGCTCTCCTCTATTTACATGAGTGTGCACCGCCACTCACACAAATGGATCTGCACACACTCATGTCCACCCGCCTGCCACTCGCAGGGAACTATCCCCTCCCCCTCCCCCTGGGCCGCCAAGCTAGGAAGGTTGGGGACTGCTGCCATAGGAAATCCTTTCCTCTGGAGTCCCACACCTGCACAACGCTGTAGGTCCAGCCCTGTTGGACCCGATCCCTTGCCCAGACATTGTGTCCGTTCTCAGCCAGCTTGTCCACCAATGTATTCTGGGCTGGAGTGAGCTTGATGTGGTTGAGATCCAAGGGTGCCGGTTTGTAGCCATTGGACATCATGTACCTGCAAAAGAGGGAACCAGATGGAGACTCAGGACCCCACCGTCCCAAAAATCAGCCTCTGCACACCCAACAAAGGGGAGCCAAACCGGTTACGTTTTAGGTAGCTTGGTTTTCTTGAGGTTCTCTTCAGCCTTCTCATCCGCCATCCCCACATGGCAGCCGAGAGCGAGCAAGGTCCTACGAAGGAAGAGGTCAGATGGTAACAATTCTGGGGGGGCAGGGAGGGGAGCTAAGCCACAGCCCTCTCTTCACTGGGGTAGCGCATATGGCGCAGCGTGCCTCAAGCCCCAAGGACACCTCGCAGAATCGGCCACGTGTTGAAAAACTAAATTGTTACCCAACGGATTGAAAAAAGCTACTTTGGCAGTTTCCTACTGGACCAACAATTGAGGGGCAAACAGTACTCCAGTCAAAGAACTAGCAACTCAGACAAACAAGCTAATAGTAAACAGGCTAATCAAGAGCACTCCCACAAACCCTGACTGGGTAAGCCACTAATGTATAAACAGAGATCAAACCCCACCCCCTTGTGGAACTGATGATGTTCTCTAGTTGGGTGATGAAACAACAACAACAATAATAATAATAATGATGATGATAAAGTTGGAAGGGACCTTGGAGGTCATCTAGTCCAACCCCCTGCTCAGGCAGGAAACCCTATACCATTTCAGACAAAGGGCTGTCCAGTCTCTTCTTAAAAACTTCCAGTGTTGGAGCATTCACCGCTTCTGGAGGCAGGTTGTTCCACTGGTGAATTGTTCTAGCTGTCAGGAAGTTTCTCCTTAGTTCTAGGTTGCTTCTCTCCTGGATTAGTTTCCATCCATTGCTTCTCGTCCTGCCTTCAGGCGCTTTGGAGAATAGCTTGACTCCCTCTTCTTTGGGGCAGCCCCTGAGATACTGGAACACTGCTATCATGTCCCCCCTCGTCCTTCTCTTCGTTAAACTAGACATACCCAATTCCAGCAGCCTTTCCTTATATGCTTTAGCCTCCAGTCCCCTAATCATCTTTGTTGCTCTTCTCTGTACTCTTTCTAGAGTCTCAACATCTTTTTTACATCGTGGTGACTAAAACTGGATGCAGTATTCCAAGTGTGGCCTTACCAAGGCCTTGTAAAGTGGTATTAACACTTCACGTGATCTTGATTCTATCCCTCTGTTAATGCAGCCTAGCACTATGTTGGCTTTTTTGGCAGCTGCAGCACACGGCTGGCTCATATCTAAGTGATTGTCTGCAAGATAACAACCAAGCTCAGAGAGCACCAAGGACCCCACAGTCCTCCTCCTCCTCCACTCCACAAACCCCGCCCCCTTTTTAGCCCTGGTGATGTTAGCTAGTTGGATTATGAAATGTCTTCAAGGAGACAACCCAGCTCAGAGAACATCCAGGACCTCAACCCTTCCTTTATGCTTCCCCCAGACAGACTCCATCAGAACTGAGGGAGACGTTCCATTTCTTGTGTCTTTCTCGGTTTCGTTTCGCTTTCCAAACTCTTCCACTGTCACCGCTAGGCAACCTTTATGTAAATGTCCCTGCAATCTCTAAAACTGGCTACAATCCCAAGATGATAGAGGAGGTCCTGGCTCAGCAGATCCAGGATCATTTCGAGGTTATCTCCCAGGGATTTCCCCACCACCACCACCGCTCACTTGAGTGTCTCTCCTGACATCTGCAGGTTGTAATTCCGCTCCGGCTCAGGAAGATTGTGGAAATCCAGCAAACAAGGATGCAGGTGCTTGTTGTCATCTCGGATCTGAGCGGAAACAACGATTGATCAGGGATCCTTGTTACAATTTCATTCGGGAGCTGAAAAGGCAGCTGATCTCACCCGAGCTACGATTTGTCGATCACACAAAGGACAGGAATGATCAAGCTTCCCAAAGATGCTTTTTTTCACGAAGCAACTGGACTTTCTTGTTTTTCTTTGAAGGCTTTTCGCTTCTCGTCAAAAGAAGCTTCTTTGGTTCTNTTGCAGACAGCTGGTCATTTGCAGTCTTTTAAGAGAGTCGTTGAGGCCACTTGGAGGTTTGTCTGTGTCCTCAGGGTCACCTGAGTGGTGCAAATGGGTTTTCCAGCCCTTTCAACAGTTCCAAGAAGGCTCCACACCCATTTGCACCACTCAGGTGACTCTGAGGACACAGACAAACCTCCAGGTGGCCTCAATGACTAACTAAAAGGATGCAAATGACCAGCTGTCTGCAAGGAGTATAAATCCTTCCGTTCCCCCACCATCCAGTCAGAGTTGAAGAAGCTTCTTGGACGAGAAGCGAAACGTCTTCAAAGAAAAACATGGAAGTCCAGTTGCCTCGTGAAAAAGCATCTTTGGGATAATGATGACCTGGGTGACTGAGAATCTCCACGGACAATTATAAAGCTTGCGTCGCTTGTGTGACGTCACCGCGAGGTGCACGGCGTCGTGGTGGCTTATTGAGGACGTCTAAGACGACACAATCTTTCTTGCCGCCACAACGTCCAACATCTGGGTTCCCGGCGAGCAGCACTCACCGGCCCGTATATCCATCCCTGCTCAATGCGAGTGAGGGCCCACAGTTCGTGGATATTCTCTGCCAATTTCTCACGGATCTTCTCAAGGTGTGGAGGCAACACTATCTGCGGGGATGGAGAAAAAAAGATAAAAGAGCGAAATGAGAATGAGGAGTGGAGGCTTTTAAGAGGTGACTTTTTAAGACACGTAGTCCTCAGCTTAGAACAGGAAGGAAGGATGGAGGGAAGGAAGGAAGGAGGGAGGGAGGACGGAAGGAAGGAAGGAGAGAAGAAAGGAAGGAAGGAAGGAAGGAAGTAAGGAAGGAAGGAAGGAAGGAGAACAAGAACAGGCAGGGAGGAAGGAAAGGGAGGGAGGAAGGAAGGAGGGAGGACAGAAGGAAGGAAGGACAGAGGGAAGGAGGGAGGGAGGGAGAGAAAGGAAGGAAGAAAGGAATGAGAACAAGAACAGGCAGGGAGAAAGGAAAGGAAGGAGAACAAGAATAGAGGGAGGAAGGAAGGAGGGAGAGAAGGAAGAAAGGAAGGAAGGAGAACAGGCAGGGAGGAAGGAAAGGGAGGAAGGAGAACAAGAACAGAGGGAGGAAGGAAGGAAGGAAGGAGGGAAGGAGAGAAGGAAGAAAGGAAGGAAGGGAGGGAGAGAAGGAAGGAAGGAGAACAAGAACAGGCAGAGAGGAAGGAAAGGGAGGGAGGGAGGGGAAAAGGAAGGAAGGAGAACAAGAACAGAGGAAGGAAGGAAGGAAGGAAGAAAAAAGGCAGTGAAGGAGAATGTGAAAGTGCCCAGGACTCCTGGCAGCAGTCGCTCTTATGGCTGATTTTGCTCTCCAGCCCTAAAACTGCTCACTTCCACTTTCCCACCTTCTGCTCTCATGCTCTCCGGCGTCCCTACCTGGATGGTATCCACGGGGTAGGGGGTGAAGGACGTGTGCGACAGGGACTGGGTCGGCCCAAGAAGGTTCCGGAAGCCGTTGATGTCGTGCTTGTACTCCTTGATGGGCTCCACCCGCATCTTCTCCCGGGGAAGGACACCCTCGTAGCAGGGGGCGTAGCCCGGGGGCGGCAGGAATTTGAACTCTCCGTGGCGGCCCCCCAGCAGGAACCGCACTCTGGCAGGGAGGAACGGGGAGGGGGGAATGTAGATGCTTATTAATGACGGGCACTTCCCTCTGGGAACCTCTGCTATCCCTTTCCCCTCAGCACGGCTGGCTCAGGAATTCTGGGAGTTGAAGTCCACCAGTCATAAAAGAGCCAAGGTTGCCTACCCCTGTCCCCTGCCCTGGGGGATGCTGCCAGAGTTGTAAGTGTGGGAAATGGTCACTGAGTCGCCTTTTTCAGCACTGTAACTCTGAACAGTCACTAAATGAATAATTCCAAGTCAAGGCCTGCCTGCGTGTCTCCTTCTTCCTCTATCAGGGTGGAGCTTACTTGATGCCGGCGGAGAAGCTGATCACGGGGAAGAAAAGGCCATCGAGGTTGAAGTTCTCAAACATGCCTTGCACCGGGAAGCCGTTGATGCGGAAAGAGATGCTGGGCACGCTCAAGTCGAGGCAGCAGCTCACCACGTCGTCCGCCCCCAGCATGTGCTGCCCGGGGGACGCCACTGCCCGAGCCACGCGGCCTGCGCCAAGCGGAAAGGAGACGAGAAGAACGTGGTGAAGAGCCAACGCTGAGACCGGGAGGCGTGCTTAAGACACCTTGAAAAAGATTTCTGCTACCTGCTCCATGAGGTCAGAGCAGGATTTGGTCAGCTGTAATGGTCCTACCAATTGGACCGCGGCGTCCTACTCCTTATAATTTATATAATTTATTTGTTAGGGTTGAGGAGCGTCCGTTAAGAAGCTGGTCTTCTGGCAAGTTAAGGAGAGAAGGCCACAGTAGGAGCATCTGAGCAGGACGTGACCACAGAATTGCGTCCGCCATCTGGACTTTTTTGACTCTAAAAGTGTCCCTGGGCCACTATTTGACATCTCTCTCTCTCTCTCTCTCTCTCCCTCCCTCCCTCTCCTCCCCTTCCTTCCTTCCTTCCTTCCTTTCTTCCTTCCTTCCTTCCTTATCTAGAGCAGCTGAGATCATCCAGCACATTGACCTAACAATCTATATTGTGATTTAACAGAAGTCTAGCCTGCCACTGGGGTTCATCTTGTATGCTAAGCCATGGCTTGCCAATTGTGGTTAACTTACAGTGGTGATTGATGCAACGTGGGAACTCAGCCAGACAACGTGCAAAGGACTCTAACCCCAGATTAAAGTTTTTTGTTTTTTTTTCCTGCCTCTCCCCTAGAGGTTTCAGCGTGTGAACCCGTTTGCCCTGAGGGAATCAGCCACGGATGCAGGAAGCCCACCTGACCAAAGCTGGAGACCATCATAGCCGAAAGAATAAAGGTCATCTCCCACGCCGTTGCCGCCCCAGCCTTCTCCGCCCCCGGGATAGGGGCTGTAGCCTTCCGCCATGGCCCAGCCAACCCGCAAGTGTGTGGCCTGTGCGGTCACAAAAGGCTCCACCGAATCCACAATCAGCTCGTAATACCACTTCTTGTACTGGGTGGATCCTTCGTGGGTGCCCAGGAAGATGTTGGGGCGCATGCTGCAAAGGGACGAGAAGGCAGGACAGGGAACAGAAAGGATCAGCGTGGGAAACCGAGAAGAAAACCTGACCTTGGATGGGTCTCCAAAAAGCCAAGTAGCATTTAGTCATCTATTTCATTCATTGCCTATTTCCCCTACAAGGTGACTCTGGGGGCTTACATATCCTAAAAGCAGGTGAAAAATAAAAAGTTAAAAGGCTCTGCTGGTTGGTCCCGAGTCCAGATTTGGGGGGGTGCCATCCTGGAGATGGTTACTATCTATGCTTCCCCAAAAATAAGACCGGGTCTTTTTTTGTTCCAAAATATGCATTGGGGCTTATTTTCCGGTTAGGGCTTATGTTCGGGGAAATACGGTAGATTAAAGACAAGTTTCCACCTCAACTCCATTGTATACCCTCCAATCTATCCTCGATGTGTCTTTCTCCTCTTCGACTCCAGCCCAACCCCCGGAGACCCCCTGCAGAGGGACCTCAAAGATGGTGAAGCAGCAACCTGGTGACGTGATTGATCAGCTTCGTTTGCAAGAGCAGATCTCTCCCTGGCAGCAGGTTTTCAGTAATCAGGTTTTGATTGGAGCGGACGGCCACACCATTGCAAACACACAGAGAGCAGAGAACATCCAGCACCTGCAAGGGAAGGAGGGAGGAGTCATAGGTTGGGTTGGGTTGGGTTAGGTTGTGATGGGTTGGATTGGGTTGGCTTGGGATGGGATGAATGGATTGGGTTGGAGTGGATGGGTTGGGATGGGTTGGGATCAGTTGGGATGGGATGGATGGGTTGGGTTGGGATGGGTTGGGGTGGGTTGCGTTGAGATGGGATAGGTTGGATTGGGATGGATGGATTGGGTTGGGTTGGGTTGGGATGGGTTGGGATGGATTGGGATAGATGGGTTGGGTTGGGATGGATGCATTGGGATGGGATGGGTTGAGATGGATTGGGAAGATGGGTTGGAATAGAGTGGAATAAGAATAGAATAGAATAGAATAGAATAGAATAGAATAGAATAGAATAGAATAGAATAGAATAATAGAATAAAAAATAGGGTTTCTAGTCCTCATTAAACATCCCAACCCTAGTCCTTGCCTCAGGATTCCAGGAACTTTGGCCATTAAAGTCCCAGAAAGGCTCTAGGGAAAAAATAGGGTCCTAAACGAGGCATGAGAATGAATTTTATCCTCATGATACACTGCGAAGAAAAAAAAAACTACAGAGCAGAATTTAAGGCAGGGGCAAGCAACTCTGCAACTTGACACCTTGTGGACTTCAGCTCCCAGAATTCCTGAGCCAGCCGTGATGGGGACCCACCTTGTGGTTGCGTCCATGTTTGTCCAGGAGGGAGATGATGGACTTGATGTGGTTTTCCTGTATGATATTCAGGACTTCCGGACTTTCAATGAGGACACAATATAACACCTCCAAAATGCCTGAAGAATATGATTAGGGAGAAGAAGGCAATTAAGGAGTCTGTTTTCACCCTCTCCTTGGCAACAAACCCTGCCCTGCAGTCTCATGTTTAATTAAGACTGATTAGTTCTTCTCTTGGCTTAAAACGGCTGTGAACTGCATTCTGCAAATCCAGAAAAAGCACTAAACCAGGTGGAATGGAGGTGGTTCTCGACTTACGACCACAACTGACCCGAAAACTTCCATTGCCAAGCAAAACAGCTGTTAAGTGAGTTTTGCCCCATTTTTACGACCTTTCTCGCCACGGTTGTTAAGTGAATCACTCCGCTGTTAAGTGAGTAACACGGCTGTTAAATGAATCTGGCTTCCCCATTGACTTTGCTTGTCAGAAGGTCGCAAAAGGGGATCACTTGACCCCGGGGACGCTGTGACCGTCATAAATATGAGCCAGCATCTGAATTTCGATCACGTGACCACGGCGATGATGCAACTGCCTGGGGTGGGTGGGTAGGAAGCCCCCCCAAACTGGCAATTCCCCCTCTGCTCACCAGAGGACGCCTCCAGTCGGTCCAGTTTGCTGACCAGCCAGTCCAGGTTGTTGGAAAAAAGGGCACAGTTGGAACGGTTTCCACGGATCAGCGAGGCTGCGAGGAAGGCAAAATGGTGGTTATGCCCTTGGTTCATCTCCACGACAATGTTGACTCATTTGCCTGTCAGTTAGCTTGTCCTCCGAAGGACCTGCGCAGCGTTTCTCCACCTTGGCAACTGGGCAATGTATGGACTTCAACTCCCAGAATTCCCCAGTCAGTGTAAGGTAGGGTGGAATTTACTGCCCCACCAGCACTGACGTTGTTACCTCGTTGGGTCATGCAATGTCTACAAGTAAATCTCCAAGCTCAGAGAGCACCAAGGATCCCCCAATACTCCTCCTCCTCCTCCTTCACTACTACTTCTACTTCTACTTCTACTTCTACTTCTACTTCTACTTCTACTTCTACTTCTACTTCTACTTCTTCTTCTTCTTCTTCTTCTTCTTCTTCTTCTTCTTCTTCTTCTTCTTCTTCTTCTTCTTCTTCTTCTTCTTCTTCTTCTTCTTCTTCTTCTTCTTCTTCTTCTTCTTCTTCTTCTTCTTCTTCTTCTTCTTCTTCTTCTTCTTCATTCTTCTTTTCTTCTTCATTTTTCATCTTCATTCTTTTTTCCTTCATTTTTCTTCATCTTCCTTCTTCCTCCTCCTCCTCCTCCTCTTCTTCTTCTTCCTCTTCCTCCTCCCTCCCCACACTCTATTCTAGCACTGATGAGGTTACCTACTTGGGTCATGAAACATCTGCAAGCAAACCCCCGAGGACTCCGTGAAATTGGTCTGCTTTCTGCACCCACAACCACCTTTTTTTTTCTAGGTTAGGCACAGAGCAGTCCCCCCTCTGTGTATCCCACATAGCTAACATCAGAGGTGTGCTTTGTAAAAGTAGCAAGTAAACCACAAGTAATTTGCAGGGCCCTGCTCTCCGTCATGAGGATTCTGACAAACTCAAGAGACAGCCTTTGTGTTCAAAACATGGTTGCTGGTCACCCAAATATACCGGGATCCTGTCCTCGGCTCAACCCACCTAACAGTTCATAGAGTAAATTCACAATTTCTTTCCAAGACTCGGCCGCATCCTCTCCAGCAAACTCAGCAAAGTGGGCAGCTGTGCTGTACAAATTGAGGCGGTCGATGCAGTTCAGAACGAGGGTGATCATGCCCTGCAAAAAAAGCAGAGACCCCCTTAGGGCCAAATGCTCCCCCCTCTCTGACTCACCTGTCTTAACTTCGTGTCTGAAAAGCAGCAGAGTGCCTGACATGATAGGACAAGCCACTATACTCAACTATTGTTTGTTTTAAGCAATAAGAGCCACATCCTGGCAGAGGGCGTGGCCACCACGGCGCTGCTGGGCTGCCTGGGTGATCTGTGGGGGGCCGTGGAGACGGTGGGTGGTCCAGCGGGCAGGGCGGAGTGGGGACAGGGGCGGGGGGGCAGTTTTGGGGCACTCGATCTCTAAAAGGTTTGCCATCACTGGCCTATAGGATGCCTAATCTGCTTTTTAGTCACCCCAAGTTAAGTACGACTTGCTCACCTCTTCCTGGAAGAGATTCTGCCTGTTCTTTAAGGAGCGGAGTTTGGTCTGCTTCTCTTCGTGCTGCAGTTCTTCCTCGGGGTGCTGGAAATAGTTGATCAGGTCCTGCAAGCTGAGGATCATCCCTTCAATGGGAAGAGTCACTGGAGTGCTGGACTTGGCCTTCCCGGTCAGGGTGTCCAGCCCTCTGGAGGACGGAGAAAGCAGAGGTCAAGAGAACTGACAACAGCTCCCAAGAAGCTAGTCCCTGGCGATCCCGGGGGAAAAGGACCCGCACAAGGCTTACTTGATGAACTGGTTATAAAGCCCAGAAGTGCTGTAGATCATCCGGGCGGCTTGGGATTGCTCGCGTTGGCAGCGGGTGAGCGAGAGGGCATCGTCCATGTGCCCCTCCTGATGCAAGATGGCCTGTGGGTGGGAAGAGAGGCCTTAGGGAAGGCTCATAGACTCCTAAGGCTAGATACAGGGATAGGCAACCTTGGCTCTTTTATGACTCGTGGACTTCAACTCCCAGAATTCCTGAGCCAGCATGGCTCAGCTTGGAAACCTCTCCCTTTCCCCTCAGCACGGCTGGCTCAGGAATTCTGGGAGTTGAAGTCCACCAGTCATAAAAGAGCCAAGGTTGCCTACCCCTGGCCTGGGCCTGTATTTCTCAACCTTGGCCACTTGGAGATGCGTGGACTTCAACTCCCAGAATTCCTCAGCCAGCATGGGGGAATTATGGCCCCCTCATGACTCGTGGACTTCAACTCCCAGAATTCCTGAGCCAGCATGGCCCAGCTTGGAAACCTCTCCCTTTCCCCTCAGCATGGCTGGCTCAGGAATTCTGGGAGTTGAAGTCCACCAGTCATAAAAGAGCCAAGGTTGCCTACCCCTGGGCTAGAAGGAACCTTGGAGGTAGTCTGACTCTGATCCAGGAGCATCTTGCTTTGATGTTGTCCGCTAAATCACCGTGGCCATTGTTGCAAAAGGGTCAGCTGATTGGCAAGAGCCAATCAGATCGTACTTCGCCTCGTAAAAGCTGCTGGCCAAAGCCAGCCACGACAACGCTCAAATATAGGCTGAGCCCGTCGAGATCAGAAATTCCCTGTATCGCTACTTGGCTAGGAGAGAAAGGTCCCTTTAAGAAAAGGCCTTAAATCCTGGTTTTACCAGTTGATTTAGAGCCCTGATGGGGGCGCTCTTTGGCTGGCCCAGTTTGAAGGGTTGAAGGAGAAGACCTCACCCCCCTGCTGTCCGCCCCGGGATCCTAGTTTTTACGTAACTCTTCCAAATTGTCATTGTTTTTATATTTTATCTTTGGATCGTTCGTTCGTACACCGCCCGGAGTCATCGAGGTGGGGGGGCACGGGAATTTAATAAATAAATAAACAAACCCCGCCAGCCCAGACTTACCCTTCTCTTGACCAAACCCAGACGCATCGCCTTGGCGTCGGCCGCTGCGTAGGTCATCCAGAGAGCACTGTCCACGTGTTGCACGAAGCACATGGACTCTCCGTATTTGATGTCCGGGGCGCCCATGCCTTCCACGTCTCGTTTGGGGGCCACGTCCAGCTTTTCCTGAACGAGAAAGAGAAGGAGCTGTCATGCCCGAAAGACCCGATCCACGCGTGAAGATCCAATGAAACTGAATTATTGCTAAAAGGCCAAGGCCCGGGAATCTTCTCAACTAAGGTTAGCAGCTGCTTGGCGTTAGATAAGGGTCGACGGAATTCAAGGGAAGTTGGACTTAGTTCGTTTGTGACTATGAAGGGATTCTAGGCTGATCCCTCTTTTAACGTCTCCCCACCTCTAGTTTCTGCCATTCCTTCTCCTACAGGAGTAGAAATTCCAGTGAAATCCCCTAAACCAGGGGTAGGCAACCTTGGCTCTTTTATGACTCGTGGACTTCAACTCCCAGAATTCCTGAGCCAGCATGAGGGAACTCTGGCCCCCTCATGACTTGTGGACTTCAACTCCCAGAATTCATTACAGTTATTTATGAGGATCCCCGTCACGACATTCCTCTTGCCCATCATCCAGTTCAGGGGTAGGCAAGCTTGGCTCTTTTATGTCTCGTGGACTTCAACTCCCAGAATTCCTGAGCCAGCATGAGGGAACTCTGGCCCCCTCATGACTTGTGGACTTCAACTCCCAGAATTCCTGAGCCAGCATGAGGGAACTCTGGCCCCCTCATGACTCGTGGACTTCAACTCCCAGAATTCCTGAGCCAGCATGGCTCAGCTCGGAAACCTCTCCCTTTCCCCTCAGCATGGCTGGCTCAGGAATTCTGGGAGTTGAAGTCCACGAGTCATAAAAGAGCCAAGCTTGCCTACCCCTGCCCTAAACTGTTCCAAAATGTGGAGATATTTAAAACACAAATGTAGGGGGGCTCTGCCTACTCACTACAGGCCCCTTTGAAAGAATGCCCCTGATGAAATTACCCAGTTGGGTAATGAAATGTCTGCAAGCAAGCAACCAAGCTGAGAGAGCACCAAGCACTCCCCTTCTGAAAAACATACCTTCGAGTTTCTCAATCTGGGCAATTCCAGATGTGTGGACTCAGAAGTTCTGGAATTCTCTGCAGAGAGTGTGCTGCTTGAGGAATTCTGGGAGTTGGTCCACACCTCTGGAAGTCCCCATAGTAGAGAAATGTTGCTTTACAGTGTAGCCTTTGGGCCACTTTCAACCTCTCCAAGAGAACTGTAGAAGTTCTCAATCTTTAGAAGGCCCTTCTGGGCAGGATCAGCCCTTAACATGAGGAGACCTCTCACCTTTGAGACCCGGAAGCAGAACGACGTCACTTTGGTGTTGGCCTTCTCAGCATCCACCACAACCAGCCCCTTCTCCTCAGTCAGGGCCAAGTAGCGCCCCGTTGTGACATGACGGACACGGAACGGTTGACCCCATTTCATGTGGCTACCACTCCAGCTGTAGGACAGAAGAAGGAATCCCAGGTTTAACAATAAGAAAGACATGGTTTGGTTTGGTTTAGCCTGGGATGAAGATGGTTAGTTAGTATCACCTTGTTTATGGCTTAGCGTGTCAGGGTAGTCCCAATGAAGATGGCTTCCAAAAATGGAACTATTCTCTTCTAGTTGATCCCATGCCAGGGGTGTCAAACTCAATTTCACTGAGGGCCACATCAGCATTGGGGGGGGCTGGGGTGTGTGTGGCCAGGGTGGGTGTGGCCTATGGGGGGCATGGATGGAGTGGGTGTGGCCTACTGGGTGGGCATGGCCAGCTCTACATCGTTCGCGTCAAGGGGGCCTGTGGGGGCCTAGGCAGGAGTGGGACAGATCTGAGGGTCTCTGGCAGAAGGGGGTGGGACCGGGGCAAGCGCCAAGGCATGGTCCATTTCTTTATTCCTCACAAAGGATGACACTTCTCCAGCATGCACCCAGGGGGCGGGGCCAACACGGCACAGGCTGGTTCCTCACTGTTTCCAGACGGCCTTGTGGAGCTAAGACTGAATGCGTTTCAGCATAGATGGCCACCACAAAATTGTACATTGGCTCCCTCCCGGCCGGCCTGGGCCAGGGCCAAGGCCGCGGGGGCCATTCCCTCACTGTTTCCAAGATGGCTTCGCGGGCCACATGAAACCACTTCGCGGGCTGCATCCGGCCCCTGGGCCTTGTGTTTGACATGTCTGCCATAAGCCATGGATAAATCGTGATTTAGTACTACATGGATACAGACCAGCCTATTCCCAGTCAGATTTAATTTTCTGTTCTGCCCAAGCAAGCAAACGTCAGTTTGGCGTGAGACGCTTCACAGAAGTCAATTTAGCGAAGAAGGTTGAAAGGTCCAAGGCACGGGAGAAGATGG